TTAAATAGGGGAATTTGTCGGCCAATATATTGGTTTTGCAGACCAAACGGATGTCATAACTTTCTTTAGTTTATTTGATCGAGCCTCACTCTCAATTCTTGTGTTCATCCTTCGGGATAGATATAGGGTTTGAGGTAAAGCGCTCTTTCATTTAAACTATGAAAATTATGGGGTCAGTTTGACTTCATCTTTTTCAAAACTAAATTTTTTTAACGTCCTTCCGAAGCGGCCAACGGGATTTCAATTCCGATGACCGACAGCTTCTTACGGGCAAACCCCACACCAAAAATAGTGCCGACAACGACTGGCTGGTTTTTTTTGAGTGATACATGGTTTAACCAGCTCGTGACTCGACTCGTCTGTGGATCGCCTTTAACTATCCAGTTACTTTGACGTTATCATGCTTTTTGGTTCGTCCATCTTTTGAGTTAGTCACCCAATTGATTTTTGAGTTGTGAATCATCTATTTTCTGGGTCGATAGGCTTTTGGTTGATGGCCTAGTAGTGAGCTATCCTTGAGGCATCTTATCCACCCTGATTGACGACATGTGCCTTGCTTGTAATCACACGATCCGGTTAGGTGCATTTAACTTTTACAACTTCAATAATCAAAAACCACCTATATGGTATATTATTTAAATATGAAGAAAATTGTCTTAATATAAGTCTCAAAATTGGTAGATTCATTTTGATTTAAGAAAAATAATTTATATGAAAAATTAGTTAACATCTATATTTTCTTTAGCTCAAAATAATTTTAACAACATTGTTACATCTTGGTCAAAAATTGGAAAGGAAAATGTTTTGGTTTAACATCATTTACTCAACTATTTATTAAAGTAGTTGAGAAATTATTATAAAAAGATTATTTTATTAAACAACATTGAAACTTCATTTTAAAAGTATCATTTTTTTTAAAACAAAATTCTTGAAAAAAATTTTCATTTTATATTTTCAACCAACTTGTATGAGTCAGCATTCTTCTTATTAAATTTTTTCCTTAAAAAAAAATTAAAACCTTAATATAAAGTATGTTTATGAAGATTGGGAAAATGAATGGCTTATTGAAATTCAACTAAGAGAATTAAATATCTTAATTCAACAAATTCAAGGTAAATATAGAATACTCAATGAAATTCATCTAATATGATCAACGTGCCTAGTGCATTTTCAAAGCATTTGAAGAATGTTATAACTAATTGCAATATTTTTAATCTAACAAAATGGTGTGATAAATAGGAAGAAACATATTACCCTCAATTTGATGTTGAGATGATCAAAAGAATGAATATGATAGAAGTTTTAGTCGAGGAAACCATATGCGCTGTTTATGCCCTTAATGATCCCTATATTTAAATCTAATGGCCGTAATATCTCAAAAGAAAGGGAGAAAGTTAAATATATTTCAAATAAAGGTGATTAGATGTGTTGCAAATATACATGTTCCTAAAGAAATGAGAACCAAATAGGATGATAGATACTCCAAACTCATCCTTCTCGGTATAATTATTAAACATATAAATTGTTTGATCTTAAAACTTTAAAAGTTATTTTATGTTGATATATGGAGTTTGATGTGAAAGGGTTTGAGATTGGCAAAGTAAGATTGAGTTTAATCAAGATGAGACAAAGTAACTATAGAGCTAAATTATCCTTCACCAACTTCTCAATAATCTATCTCTTCGCCATCTTTTTTAGAAGATAATGAAAGACAATAAAATACAAGAACCCTATGTAAGCTCCATGATGTAACCAATGATCTTGCTTTATTTGTTTACTTACAATTAGTGAGGCATTATAATTTAAGGAATCTATATGAAGTTAAAGATTGAAGCACATAATAGATGATAAAATCAAGTCTTTAGTGAAGAATATCATGTTGTAGCTCACAACTCTATAAGAAAATAAGAAGCCAATGTCGTCAAATAGGAAAGATAAGAAGCCATTAGCATAAAATAGGCCCATAAAATCAGAAATGTAAAGGAAGAAACAAAAACGTATTAAATATAATTCATGGAAAAAAAAAATAAGTAAATAATGGGCATTGATTATGACGTGGTATATGCTTATATTATTTGCATGAAAATTATTTATTTCATAATTTTTCTTGTTGCATATAAAGGTTGATTACAAATAGACATTTTTTATGGGATATATTAAGAAGAACTAATACTTGAACAAAATAAAAGTTAATATTCCAAAAATTATAAGTTAAAACAGAAAGTCTTTTGGGACTTAAACTAATCACCAAGAGCAATATATACAAAATATATATTTTATTTCTATGGGATTGAAATGAAGCCAAAAAGGGGATTATTTTCATCCCCCCCAAAAAAAAAACTTATGCAAGAGTGGCTCTCATGAAATTAAAGATAGAGAATAATTAATTAGTGAAATATGTCATCACGCTATAATGGGTTGTTTGAGATCACTTCTATTTTTAAAGTTTTATTTTTATATTACTTTGTATATGTGTTAACTTGCAATAAAATATATGTGATATCTTATTAATATGTTTAGTTGTTTTTAAATACACTCAAATAAATTTTTTTATGTTTTAAATGTTTTTTTAGAAAAGTAATTAAAAAAACTCAAAACATTCAAAAAATGAATTAAATGAACATTAATTTTAAAGCAAAAGTAAAAAAAAAAGCAAAAAATGAAAGTGATTTCACATAAGCCCTAAATGAAGAATAAACGTAAAATGGTGAATCTAGCCAACTTCAAAAGGTTCATGTATAGTTTAATATGTTTGACATGTATAAGGATGAAATTTCTATAGAGTGGAATTGCAAGCTAGAATATAAAAAAGTTTGAAAGAGATACGGTTGAAAGTGACTAACGTTTTGAATATGAACTTATAGATTATTATACTCTTCTAATAAATTTCAAAATATTGGGAATAGTGGTTGGCTCAAGGATCACTATAACAAGAAAAGTATAACCAAATTTTTGTTATATACTAATAACACTACTTTCATTTGGTACTCGAATAGGAAAAATTAGTGTTGCCTAATCCATTTGTGAGGTTGAATGTATTGCAACATTTTCATACTTGTGTTATACATATGAAAGCTAGTAAAAAAAGATTGAATTTTCATAAAGTAAAGCTCTAAAAATCTATGTAGATAATAAATTCACAATATTATTGATAAAGGATCCATATTAACTTGAAAAATAATTTGTGTATTCATGTTTATTTTCACTACATAAGATATCAAACGAAAAGAAAAATTCAAATATACCATGTGAAAATAGAAGATTAAGTTGTTGATAATATTACTAAACTTGTGAGGGGCCAATTTATAAAATTGTACATAATTCTTATCTTGACCAATGGACAAACTATTGATTCATGGGAGAGTATTTAAAAATTAAAAAAAAAAATTAAATTAAATTAACAATTTAAGATTATGAGTTGTCTAATAAATAGCTAGAAGTATTAAATATAATTTAGAATCCGCCATGATTAGTATAATGCTTTCTCATTTCATACAAACCGAAATAAGAGCAAAAAGTTCAAAATAAGTTGTGAGAATTTCATCCACTTTCACCCATCACCCAAACAAGATTTTCTATCAGTGTAATCATATAGTGCAATAAATTCTTCCACTCTTTTTTTATTTTATTTTATTTTATTATTTTATTATTTTTTTATTTTTGCAATAGTAAGGATGTGTAAACATAGTAGGCAAGTACATATTTAGCATCGTTAGAGATTTCAATGCTTAAATAAATTTTCATTTTTGGGTCAAATGGTCATCCACAAAATAGATGTTTTATATTCAAATGCAAGGGATTTAAAAAATTTAGTATTTGATTTGAGAATAATGGAACAGAGCGTAAAATTTCAATGAATTTTAAATTGAGCCTCTAAATTATTTCTTGAGTATTTTAAATTCATTAGATTTGAATGCACTGCAAATTACGGTTGTTGCCTGACCTGTAGCAGCTCATTACTGCTGCTGCCAAGCCTCTACGACCACAAACACCACTATCGGTTGTCACACCAATAGCCACCTATGCGTTTTAATTTAACATCAAATGAAATAGCAATATCTCATGTTTGTTTTACATCAAACCAAAAAATTCTCAGATTTTTAAGAACATTACATTTCAACAATACTGAAATTAATTACTTTGTATTCCTTTTTGAGCCAAACAAATGGCCCCTTCATCCAATAAGCATAATCTACACCACACTCAATGCAAGTTCTAAACAAACAAAACATTTATTTCTACATTAGTAATAATACAACAAAAGCAACTTATAATTGCCTTTTATTGAATGAAAATCATGTCATTTTATAGATAGCTCTATTGAGTTTTATCAGCCATCTACTCTTCTTAGTAACTCTGGATTTCTTTGTTGTTCCCACTGTCGAAAATTCGATTAAGTATTGAAGCCAATCGTAGACCTGCCTGTGCGATTCTCTTTTTCACTATTGGTAACCGGGTGAAGAAATAGTCATCTGAGGACCAACCTTAATGTTAATACTCATTTCAAGTTTTTTTTTTCTAATAATTATAACTTAATTATATTATAAAAATTATAGATTTGGATTTGTGTATGGCTTACCTCCTAATGTTGAACCTTGTTCAGCATCCTTATATGCATAATCACAAGCTAGCTGTATACTTTCTTCTGCATAACTGAAAAGAGAAAATTGCCAAGAGATTCAATAAAATAGAAAAAGAAATCTGTTGAATGAGCTATGAATTTTCTAAGCATACTCATTTGCGCAAGTTGCTCTTTTATTGCCGCAGCTTTGCCAAGTCTCAACGTCATCTGGCCAACCACTCTACAAAAGGAAAGTTAATATCAGGAGACCTCAACATTAATTTTCAAAAATCTTCTAAATTTATGAGAACGATAGTTGCAGAATCTATCAAAATTTATAATTCACAACGATTCTTATATGTAGAACCTAACAATAAAGTTGGTTTATATATGGAGCCTAAAGCATCAAAATGGCTAAAGAAAATTCATTTCAGAGAAACAAATCAAGCTTACAGTTATGTTTAACTTAATTCCCTCAACCATGGTATCAAGATCATTGTTGTAATAGTCACGCATTGCTGTTTGTATCATGCTGGAATCCCATACCTGAACCAATAAAATAAATTAAGCTTAGAACAAAACATTTATAAGTAAATCAAAGATATAATTTCATAAAGAAAAAATTTAACGTACATGATGAAGGTTAGTCTTCCTTCTGTACCAGTGGACTACAATGGTGTTTCCACCTTCATCATCTTCAAATCCCACATGCAGAGGTTGGTGGATATCCCCCACGAAATGTGCCAGGAACATTAGACTTTCAGTTAAATTATCTGAACATTTCGTTCAAATGAGAAATGGGGACAGGTTTTAGAAATACGAAGTATTTAGTTAATGTTGTTGAGTAAATCGAGATTGAGTTCTTGGCCTAGTAATTTTACACTGATTCGATGGGTCTCCATAGCTATAGAGCTGATTAGTGTAATTATTGATTGCTCCTGCCACGCACATTCCTTGTTCCCCTTTTGAATTATGGCAATCTCCTGCAGCACATGGAGCAATCTAACTTAGTGCTATTTTACCGTTATAATAAATTTTAATTTTTTTGGCTTGTTAAGTAATGCATGAATTCATCCTAAACTATGGTGTTTAAAACTGACGTAGATATAAAACTAAAATCCATTTTTTTTTTGGGTTACATAAATAATTGATACAAGAAGCAAGCTCTTATTATTTTAAATATAATTTTTTTTGAGATATCTATCTTCAAAAATTTAATCAACAATTTAGAATTATTACTAACTAAAGATACAGCTTAAATATATTTTGAGGCATAACCAAGCGCTATCAAACTATATTGATTTTCAAAAGTGAGAAAATTTTCATAATATTTATATAGAAAAAATTAAATATTTCTACCTCTAATATATAATTCAATGACAACTCATACATTTTAGAGCCATTCTTTAACACATATCAAACCTCTAAATATACTCATGAACATCTCTAAAAATGATAGACCAATAAAATTCAATCTGAAAATTTATAAAATCAAACTTTATTCTACTGAAATGCCCACCATATTTTGAATCGTGATATTCATGATTTATAAAATTTATTTAAATGTGCATCTTCTAATTACTTGATTACTATATTCCTTAAAAGGATAATGCTCATCATAGAAGTAAAATGTAGAAGCATGCCAAAAAAAAAAAGAAAAAGAGGGGAATCTTGGCCGTAACAAGTGACTAACAAGAAGATTAACATTGTCATCATATCACATTATATTTTAGGTTCTCTTTCATGTAATGAGGACGTGAAAAAGAAAATAAATGTATGTCATTCATGAAAGTCAATAGAAACTGTTGTTGCGAGATCTAAGATATTCACTAGTTGATGTGGTATACATATAAATCAAACAGGAGAACGATCAATGACGAAGCGAAAAATAGAACGAGAAAATTCACACCAGAAAATAGTAACACAATGGAACACACAAGTTACGTGGTTCGACAAATTGCCTACTTCCATGGAGTTGCAGAGAAATTTACATCAGTCAATCACTTCGACTTACAAGAGAAATCTCTCACTTCGTTGCTATCTCTTCTTCTCTCTCTGCACCGAGATACACCGAAAAAACTCTGCACCGAGATACATTGAAGAAGATCAACTTACAAGAGAAATAAACCCAATTTCTCTTCTGCTACAAGTCATCATGAAGAAGCTTAGGGAGAACAATCTTCTTCTTCTTCCTTCTTCTTTCTGCCGCAAGGAACTACCGCTTGCACTTCTCTTCATCTGCCCCGAGGAAACCTTCCTCTATTCCGAGGAAACTGAAGAAGAACTTAAACTGTGACTTCTAAACCCAAGTAGAGCCATCCTAAGCTTTTATCACGAACAAAATAAGGAACGGAGGGATGTTTCGCTTATCAAAAAGAAGAAAGCGGGAGCGATTAAGGAAATCACATGTCGCGGTCGCAACCTTTCACGATCGAATTGGCATCGCGACCTTTTGCGAACAGGAGCGGGAGTGTGAACTTTCGCGATCGGCGAAGGGAGTGCGAGGCAGGATCGTGAACCGGGCTCCAGCATAACAAATCTTCCACTTGGAGACCAGTACACCTGCTACAACGTCTCCTTCCTCAAACTAAATCCTCCAACTTGAATCCTCCATTGTGAATCCTCCACCTCTGCAACTCAATGCCTCTGTCTTCACTCCAAAAGACCAGCTAAAGCTGTGCACAACTTTAGTTTCTCAAGAGTAACAACCTCAGTCAACATATCAGCAGGCTCCACATAGCTTTGCACATTCAAGCTATTTCCTGGGACACCACTCTTGTCTCTTCTTACAACT